TGAGATCGGTTTTTTTGGAGAGGATAAACTTGATTTGCTCTTTGTTCTCCAGCATAATTTTGAGAGGGCGAGGTGGTTGTGCTACTGTCCTGTCTTCACTCCTTTTTCCTATCCGGAATGCTTTCAGAACCTTTATTTCCAGGTCTGCCTGGAGTAACTGATTTAATAGACAATGAAAAAAAGCAAGGTCCTCTGAGACACGGTCTTCAGGTCTGACTGCATTCGATTGTGACAAACCCTGAATAATCAGACACTGCTGGCGAGCATGGTCCTCCTTACTCTGTCTTTCCGGTGAATGCGCTGGATGTGGGCGAGGACGATTTACGGAGTCATCGTTTGGACGCACACTTTTACTGTCTACCGACTGTCCCGAGCAACCCATCAGGGCTGGCTGGGACTTCAGAATCCTCTCATGGCGTTTCCCTCTCCCCTCTACCCACGGGTTTACGTCTTCGCATTCAGCTACGTGCTCTGTAGTGCGCTCAGGGTGGTTGCCAGAACAAGAGGGCAACAGTAGACTGGATGACCCAGGTATATCGTCTCCAGGCAAAACAGAAATCCCATCACTTACAGCAAGAGGCTTAGTTGAGATGGCTTCCGCGACAAGTAACTTTTTTGCGACATCGCTTAAGACATCGTGCGTGGGAATCGAGTCTCCCTTTATCGGCGGCTTCATTTTCATTGTCCTGCTGTTACCGGCGTCTGAGGTTTTGGCTGTTGAGTTGCTACTCGTGTTTGAAGATTCCCCCAAGGCGATATTGCAGAGCACGCCAATTCTTTTTAAGAAGAAAATTATAAGGGGCTCAGGTTGCATGTGCCTTATTTACAGCCTTCCTTAATGACTGTCCGGATTATAAGCCTGCGTGAGCTTTATGACATCGCCGATTTGGTCCCTATATATCGGTGGCATCATAATTCTAAGGTCAGAGATAATACCAGTTCTACAGTTTACGAGATAGAATAAAATAATTGCATTTTCTTATTGCCCAGGTTAGATACAAAGTACAAGCCACTCCCGAATTTTTCATTTGTATCTTACTTCATCTGAAAAGGTGTGACATTTTATGGTCTCGGAGTTAAAATTTTGAGAGTCAGTTGCGTAAGTGGAAAACAGTTTGCTAGTACAACCTGATGAATTTTTTCTGTAAGTTTTATTTATCAAACCTCCGGCTGAAATTTGAGCACCAACAACCAGTCATCAAGAGCCTTAGCTGCCAAATGACTTTGGCACTTTCGTTGTTGACTGTGTACACGTTCATGCTGAGGCGCGAGTAGACAACGGATGTGCGTACTGAATTGCTATAGTTTCTGAGCAGAAGAAATGGCGGCGAGTCTGAATCGGAAGCATTGGGACACCAAGCGCACTATAACTAATCCAATTTGGAATCACCTTCGGAAACCATAGGTCTCCGGGGAACAGCTGAACTGAGGTGACGTGAGCTCAAATGCTGTGACAGTGGCAAATTTGCAAATGAAAGGATAAACCATTCGTTTCACCGCCAGCGCCGTTGACGTTGGTTGCTTTATAACATGACACATTCCTCCCACTCACTGTTGTCAAACTCATGGAGCCCTCGCCAGCTATACTTATTTGAAAGCTGGTTTGTTTTCACGGCAGCCCAAAACAGATTAAAACAGCGAACGAAAGCCAATTTTGCCGAATTTTCACATCGCTTACGAAACTTGTGCATCAAAACAACGTACAGTATTTTGGGTGGGGCAGCAAAATTTCAAGGGGATGGATGGAGCACTATGTCCCTGCAGGCCTTACAGAAGACCGCTTTTAGGACACAGACCACAAAACTGCTTCTTACTTATGTGATTGTGTCTAGTTGTTAGCACACGTAATAGAATGAGTCTTTTCAGCATCGTATGGGTACTGTCCGCTAACAACACCGCAGAAGACGAAAAATGCCTCCTGATTATTTAATACTAATAATAATAATAACTACCAACCTCAACTAAGTAGTGAAGGTCACGTCATAAATGTGCCTGGGGTTATTAAGGATCTGGGCATATCATACTCCAAGAGTCTCAATCTCTCGGAGCACTGTGTCTTGATAGTCTCCAAAGTACGTTGAACGACCGGGTTTATCCTCCGAAACTTCAAAACTAGGGATATAAGAATGGGCCTGGAATGCTGTTCGTTTTTATTTAGCCCCATGCCTGCTACTGAGCAGAAGAAAAGAGAATCCTTGCAACACTTTTATACCAAGAGAGTTTTTACCCCGGAACGCCGACATTTGTCTTACCAAGAACATAGTCGGCTTACACGCCTTGAGCCTTTATGGTTCCATATATTACAAAAAGGACTACTTTTACTATTTAAACTCTTATATAATCACACATTTAACCCACTCACCTCTTTAAGACATCATATCCACCCACGACGTAACGTACTGTTAAATATCGTCTGTTATTTTCTGTAAATGCAATTGCTTTTTGGAATAAACTACCCAGGAATGCGAAAAATCTGCAAAATTATCCTCTCCGACCCATCGTGTCGCTCAAAGGGACTCCAACGTACGGAGTGGCTAAGTGACTGTTCCGGCGTCTCAAGTTCCTGACCGCTGAGTCAGACACCACGGTCTCTTCGTCAGCACAATTCCTGGAGAAACTCAAAGGGGTAAGCATCCATCCAAATGAGGTCATGGTATCTTTTGATGTAACATCCCTTTTTACTTCTATTCCCCAGGACCTGGCGATCGAGACAGTTGACCTGCTACTACAAAGCAAATACGATGAAACGGAGAACCGTCTTGGACACGCCCAAATCCTTCAGCTCCTGAAGTTCTGTCTCAGGACGTACTTCACGTTCGACGGGACAATCTACGAACAGGTGAAGGGCACACCAATGGGTTCGCCGATTTCGGGATTCATCGCCGAGGCGGTCCTGCAACGGTTAGAGTCGCTGGTCTTCCAACACCACAGACCGAAATTCTGGGCCCGGTATGTGGATGATACCTTCGTCGTCATCGAACGGGATCAGGTGTTGACATTCCAAGGACATCTCAACGCCGTCTTTCCGGACATTCAATTTACGATGGAGGAGGAAGAGAACAACCAGCTGGCCTTCCTGGATGTCCTCGTTTGCCGCAAGGATTGTGACGGACTGAAGACCAAAGTGTTCAGGAAAGCGACAAATACGATGCAAGTACTGAACTTCAACAGTAACCACCCAATCCGCCACAAACGCAGTTGTGTTAGGACGCTCTATCGGCGTGTCGAAACGCACTGCAGTGAGCCGGAAGACAAAATTGCTGAACTACAACACCTCCGACGGGTCTTCAAAGCCAATGGCTACCCGCGCAACTTCGTCGACCGGTGCATACGCAAAAGGGACGAAAGGCCTAACCGCACGGACACCAAGTCTTGGCGGGCACTTCCGTATGTCAAGAACGTGTCGGAAGCTGTCGGCCGCCTTCTCGCACCGCTTGGGGTTGGAGTGGCACACAGACCGGAGGCAACCATCAGGCGTCTGATCATGAAACCGAAAGACCCACTGCCACGGCTAGAAACGTCTGGAGTCGTTTATCGGATCTGGTGCAGTTGCGGACAAAGCAACTACGTCGGAGAAACCGGAAGACAGCTCCGAACGAGAATGGCCGAACACGCGGCAGCGGTGCGCAGAAATGACGCCAGCTCTCAAGTTGCGGCTCATTCGACGAGATCCGGCCACACATTCATATTCGATGAGGCCGAAATTCTCGCAAGAGGTGACAATCGAGTGAGCCGGGAGCTACTGGAATCATGGTTTACTGGCCCCCAGTCCATCAACAAGTGCAAAGATATTCCCATTCAATACAGCGTGCTGAGACTTCGTCTAGGCGGAGTAATTGGCCACGCGGGCAGCGCACTGGTGAACACTCTTCCCAACACCGGGGTCAAGGCGTCAGATGGTCGAGCAATCATCACGCCAACATCTAACGCACGCGATGAAATTGCAGCAATTATCGACTCGAATGTCGGCCATCAAGCAATCATCACACCAAGTGTGACAATGCCGGATGAAGGGGGAAACCGTGAACATTCATAGGTATGCGGTAGCATGGCTGCTGCATCCTATAAATACCTCAACCCCTTGTGCAACAACCACCCGTTTCTGCTCTTTTGTCTCTGATGATGGATTCGAGTAGGAAATCGAAACGTCAGGCTAATAAAGCTCTTGTCCCGGCGATCGCGTCTCTTTCTTCAAGACTACTTCCTGGAACTCGGCTCTTCGCTTCTATTGGCAATTATCCTTTATTTAAGAAAACGGTTACTCGATTTTTGCATTCAGAAAATATCCCACAAATTTTGGGTGCTGAATCCACTGATCGACTGTACCGTAGCGATGGCGTTTCTGGTCTCCAAACACTATGGCCGGTCTCACCAGGGACAATTTCTTTGACCAGCAGTGACAGCTGTTCTTCGACGCTTCTATTTTGACTATCCCCAACTTCATGAAATGTACTGACGTCTGATAATCTTCGATGCCGTGCAACCCTTCCCTTCTTGACGGCCAAAAGTTTGTCGCCAGCAGTTTTTTTTTCTCCTGAACCCTCCAAACCATGAAAACCCTTATCAACTATATTTTTATTACTTTTCCACAGGACTTTTGTCACTGTTGGCCGGATTTGTGTTTAACGCTTCCTTGACAATGCCTGTAAACGGGCGGTAAGTAAAATTATGATTATTATAACTTATCTGAGAATGGCCAGGCGACGCACTTTCGATACCCATCTGTTCGTTTGGCCTTACAGAGTGATGTTGTCCACCGCCTACCAAAACCATGGGAGGAACTGATGGCGTAAATCGTGAGTGAATGAGTTTTTATTGACATCCGATTTCCAGAGAAGCGAATAGATGACTTCAGATAAACAGCTCAGAAGAAAAGGATGTAATTAAAGAACAAAGAATGTACGGGCACGACGTCTTCAATTTCCACACGAAACAACATTCAGAGACTGTCGTAGAAGGGTAATAGAGGACCAACGAGACGAGAAAAACAATCAAAACATCCCCTAATGATGTCCACATCTTACAGACGTTAAGAACATCACAGAAGCCCTCAGCTGTCTGCTTATAACACCTGAAGTTTGGATTGCTCACGGACCGGACTCAGGTGCCATTTGTCAGGACATGAGGTTGAATAATCTGCTATTGCTGCGCGAAATGCCTACCGTTGTTCATCGGATCTGGTGCACTTGCGGACAAAAAACTACCCAGAGAAACTGGGAGATTAGTCCGGACGAAAATAGTCTAACTTCAGCAGGGATGAGAATAAATGACGCTTTTTGTCAGGTTGAGGCTCACTTGACGGAGCCCGGTCATAACTTCGAGTTTTTAGGAGCTGAAATCCCCGAAAGAGGTGGCAACTGTACAAGCTAAGAACTACTTAGGCCAATATTCGCCAATCAGCAGTTAAGTAACAAGCACAATGACATTCCGCCTCCATATTCTGTACTGAGAATTAACCTGTAAAAAAATTGTCAAATGAGTGGGTACTTATCATGTCTGAGATCAGCAGTGGTGACGGAATAGCGCGATTAACGACTTACGCGAGGACTAACAAACAAACATCGCATCGAATGCGACTTTCATCAATGAAGGCGGTGGCAGGTCGGTGGCCTTCTACAAAATCTGCGCGCTCTAGGCTTCTTATGCCATTTCTTTCGCTGTTTCAATTGATGTGTTCCAGCAATAATCTGAGATGTCAAGCCAGTAAGCAGCTTTTTCGACGACTTCATCTACATCCCAGGCGATAATAGTCTTGCAATACGTCTGATGCACTCCCTCTTTCCTTACACAGCTGGGTCTAGTGGCAAGACGGACTCGGGCTGACAGGGGGTAGGCATGGGCGCAGTGGCCAATTAGGCTTGGCAGTCCGTCTAAGCGTGCTACACACGCCTTGTTTGTGCATGATGTGCCAGGTTTACACAGGACAAAGTGGGCAGCTGGGATTCCGTCGGAGTAATAAGACAATATGTGCACAAGTTCAATATCCATGTTGATCATTTGCATGTCGGCGGATTTGGGTGGAAGTCATTGAAGTGGCGTGCGCCAGCACTAAGACAGACTATGCACAGCCCGAATAACGAATGTCGTGCCCAAGTCCAGCCTTGGTGTTGGTCCAGTGCACCCACTGCATGGCCTGCTTGGGCACAAAAATATATTTCTATCATATCATGTGTTCCCTGTCGTAATGCGAATGGAATAAAGTTTCGAAAGCGGGCTTCATTCCCCCACTGTCTCTCCATCTACAACTCCAATTAGAAATTCGGGTACAGTCCGGTTACGGGTTTGTGCACGTTTATCACAGGAAAGGTATCGAGTGTTCAGGTGGAAGCTTTTATTAGGTTCAGCGGCACCGACGTACCCAATGTCCCATGTTACATATCTCTTCATTTATTTCTGCCTGATGCTCCAATACATAGCTTAAGAAATTAAACAGATTTCCACATGCGGATACATACTGGCAGTGATATGTAGATTTGAACACAAAGTTCCGAAGATAGTCACGCCTCTCGGGTCTCTGGACAAAGAATCTGTGCGGTGTAATATTAACGACCCTTATGTCATGATTGTCCCCCATTGTCTTAGAACAATTTGCCAACAGATCGTTATCGAACTCCATACTTAATTTATTTTAACTATCTGCATCGTCATTGCTAGAACGCTGCCACAAATCTTCAAGTATCACAACATTCCGAACATTTGGAGCTTTGATAAGCTCGACCTGTTAGATAAAGCGTTGATTGTACCAAACTGATTTTTGAACGATTTGGTCATCTGGCTGCATTGGTGACCCAAAGCGTCCGGAGGTGCCTTGCCTCTCTCGGAGGCCTGCCTTGTCTGTTACGCCATAAAGATGGGTGCGTCATCTTCGCATGTGTTTCAAACTTACAAGGACCCTGCTTCGATGCCAAACTTTACGAAGCCTCCAACTTACGACCCTTTGCTGGGTTTTGAAAATGGTCGTAAAGAAAGAAAGTCTATTGTGAGTGTGCTTGTCCTTTCAGAGTGGGTGTCAAATTGTTGTAGTGTGCCGTAGTTGCCTTATACATTCTTCGTTTTCAAAGAGACCGACTAAACAGAAATGTGTGGGCACCATACACTTTGGTCAAGGTCCTAATACCAAATGTTTTCGACTCTTAGAAGCGACTTCTTAGTCTGTTACTTCTGGCAGCTGACCCCATGGTTGCGGAGTCCCGTATGCAGCCGACCTTCAAGATCTGCAGGGGCTATGTACATGGTGCCGCTATCTCCCTTTTTTGACTATTTATCGCTGCCCTACTAACGTATAAGCTCGTAAAGTCCACCTGTCTTCCGCAGCTACAGTACTTGTGCGAATGTTCTGACCAGTCAAGAGTCTCGTGCACAGTGGGATGCAAGTTTAAGGTGAAGTGGACTACAGATGTTGCATTATCACGCGCGATCACATCGATAACTGCAAGTCCAGTGAAGAATTTTCTGCAACCATCGTGTACAAACGATTTCTCGGCACCAGTCACCTCCACGCGGCATGTTCTTAAATCGACTACTGTGGGTTTATTTGACATCCTAAACTCGCTGCTCTATTCACCCGACTTGCCGGACTTGCCCTCATTTGTTAAGTTAGGGAAATATCGTAATTTCCACGGCTAGGAAAGCTAGCACTCTAAGCGAGTTTGGTAGGTCGTCGTCTCATTCCCACCTGGCGATACGCCTTTTCTGGTCGGCGGCTTTCTTGCGACATGCCCTGAGAAAATAATTATTAGTCATTTCTAAGACGCAAGTCTCCCAAACCTTCAGATGCATCGTGGGCCCATCAAGATATTTTCTCCCGGAATGTGTTTTTTGGCACATCCAAAAAGAAAATTTGCTTCGTATAAGCACTGAAAACCAAAGAAATTGTGCAACGGTTGCCTTTCTGCTGTTCCGAACTATCAGAGGTGTCAAATCAGCACAGCGAGGAAGCTCCTGCTCTGAGATGGACTATAACAGGTTTTTCTTACGGACACGAAATACAGAAATATCAAATTTTGCTTAGCCGGAGGGAACCCTTGGTATTTTAGGTAGCAGAAGGCTCAATCGGATTTCGAGAATTCAGCGTCTCTAATTTCGTCCTCACCAGTATAGGGTGTCGTGAGATAGGATGATATTCTGATTAAGGTCAAGGTCATGTGCTGCCACAAGCTCACTGGTTACTTGGGGGGCTTGAACAAGCCTGGAGAGAAGTTTGTGCCTGTTAAATGTTCCACTGCTTAACTCCAGAAACTGCCGCAACAGTGTCTCAGTTGTTTCTATCCCGTAACGCAAAAGTCGTGTAGTTCCGTAATTCTCAAAAGTTTTTAGGCGTTTGCTTGTATTTCATCCGCTATTTCTTTAAAAAGTATTTAAAAGACTGAAGGCGAAGCAGCTTTATGCCCTATCCATACATAATTTCCATCCAATTGAGTTGTACATTTCCTTTCGTTTTGTAATTTAGACCATTCCTGGCTGACATGAACATGCTGTATGTTGGTGCTAACGCTTAGCACTCGGCTCACGTTTCAACTTATTATTGCAATATTCCGTAGGTAGTGACCATGGCGAACGTATAATTTTCAAGAAGAGTAGCCGATGCAGAAGAGGTGGTCACTGAAATAACCTGATTTTAGGTTTGAATTCCTAAACTAAATGTGTGGCCGTTCGTCTTCAGGGACTGGTGAATCCACCGCTGCTGCGTGCGTCGGTTCGCGTTCGCGTACTCTCATATCTGTGCTTAGCTGGTGGTGTCTGGGACGGTTGTTAGATTGTCCGCGGCCATAATTTGGTTGTGGAGAATGCATATCTTTCTCCTACCTTGTACTTGGTTCGGCCGTGGTCATGCGTAATTCAGCTAGCCTCGATGTTGCCACAAAGTCCGAAATTTTCATGAGGTTTCTTGGAGATTTTGAGTACAGGCGGGTCCTTAACGGCCCTTCAGCTTGTTCGTTCGAGGCTGCCTCCTTTAGCACTTTGACTCAAAAACTTAACCCGAAGGCACTAATGGCAAGCAAGTCTATTTAATGGCTGTTCACGGTCGTTATGTCGCAGCACCGTTATCGGGCTTTGCAGCACTTTATAAAGCAGTCGGCGTGCCAGACCTTAGCCCTCTGCGCCCTAGTGCATTGTTGTCGCTGGCCCGTATTCGCTCGAGAGCCTGCTTATTTCACAGCTGACCTTCGCTGAAGGCCGTTCCACTATCCGCCATATGTGGACACAGCAGCCTGGCATCATCCTGTGTGGTTTTGCGGCATATATATACATACAACATCGAGTGGATGCAGACAATCCTACCCAGGGTGGGCATCTGCGACGTCTCCTTCCTTTGGCGGCCAGTCGCTCCCCACGCTAGACACACGCAACGAGTCATACAGGTCGATTGGAGCACGCGGACATAAACGGGTGCTCTGCGCGACGAACTCTCCAGTCTCTGATGACGAGCGGTCACGAAGGTCGTTCGAAACTTCAACCCCAACATAAAGCTTCGGTTATGTGAGTACTTCTGCAGGTGTAATCTTACCTCTGCTTCTGAATTACACACCTCTGTAGGTAACAGAAGAGGAGATGATCGCTGCTGGTTTGACTGCAAAAGAACGTGACTACTGCGCCCCAGTGCTCATGGCCTGGAGAAAATGCAAGGCGGAACGAACTATCTTCTTTCCTCTTTTCTGTCTCCACTTCCGTCACGCCTACCTCGAGTGCCAGACGAAGGATCAGATTATGCGGATGAAGGAGTACGAACGGGAACTGAGGCTCATGCAGAAGGAGCGTGCTGTGGCGACTGCCGAGTAGACCGATTAGCTTTTATTATCCCAGCCTTCCCCAACCCATCTACTGTAGTCATCCGGTTTGCACCAAGTTCACTTAAAGAATAGTTCTTTTTGAAGAAAATGTGTCCTTTGCGTCGGCAGTGGGAATATATAGACTTGCTCGTATTTTGCGAAGCGAATTTCATTGTGATTGACAATCTCATATTGGGATTCTAAGTGATTACAACCCCACTTGACAACCCATGGAAAGCAACCTGAATTCCTTCCACATTAGCGCAGTTTTGAGTTTGCATGAAGGCCCTTTCATTTAAGGTGTTGAACTTATTATGGAATTTCTTCTGTTTTCTGAAAATACTGTAGAAGAGGACGCCATCTAAGCAGTCAGTGGGTAGGAAGTAACTTTTTTCCACAAGAACGCTATTGAGAGTACTTTAGAGTAGACACAAGGATGCGACTTCCCGGTTCTTATTACACAAAAGAGTCGATCGCTCTGACCGTCGTGTATTGGCCTGGTTTTGGACCCATGCAGGGACCCACAATCAGAGACGACAAAGTAATAATAACAAACAAGCGACTTCCATGCTGCAGCTGTTCCTGCCGCTATAAAGGCCTACCCGCACGATGGTCCAGTCACAAATACGTAAACGGGTGGCTAGGGAGGTGCCACGCGCATCCGACTGTACGCCAGTGGCGGGAGTTGCTGGGAGCCTGGGTCTCTGTCTACTTTGACCTCCTTTTGCATATCGTGCGCGCTACCTGGTGGCGTGGCCGCCCTCCCAGCCAAGGATGTGCGCTGTGAGGAACTACAAAAGGCTTCACATTTGTTTCTCCACTGGTCCGAGGTCCTGGGAGAATACGACGACTGCCCGGATGGTCGATTCCTCTTCCTTGCACACGGGAGAGTTTTTACTCGAAAATCTCGTTGCGAAGTCTGCCACTGTTAGTGAAATAGCGTGCGTTCCGCAACGCGTTTAGAACTTGTCCACTGTAACATTTCGAACTTGCAGAATTTAAGAATCTGAACCATCCCATTGAACTTGCATTGACCTCATTTTCTCCTAATGGAAAGTGGGGGTCGAACTTAAGATAATCAGCCTTATTCGCCGGGGAAGTCGACGCTTTGGGTATCATATTAGAGCTGTACATTTTGTTAAAGGTTTTCAGAGCCCCTTGGACCACAGAATTAATTTGGCGCCGAATTTTAAAAAACGCGATGTGGAGGCAGTGTCTTCCGTCGCATTGACTACGCTGGATGCATTTTCTATGATGATAGCAGAAGTGGCGATTCACCCTCCGCAAGCAACCGGGACCACCATTGTTTCCCAGAAGGTGCGGTGCAAATTGCACGCGAGCGTTTTCGGAGACACAGGCTTGCGCAGCGCCTGCCTCACCCACACACCACCAGTGTGGCTGACGAGATTGGATCTAAACCGTGTGCCACGGACGCGCTGACCCGTACACATACATGGACCAGAGGCAGTTACCACAAGGGTCACACTAGGAAGGAGCGATTGCAGCATACCTTCCAGTCCTGGTTAAGATCGAGTTGTCTTTTTAGTTGGTGGTTTCGTAGGCCATTGCTGGGTTAATAGTGCACTGGGGTAGTTTAAAGAGGCTCTTGCCTGTTTACAGTGAGGAGACTAAGCGCTAGATCCAAATTGGAACGACCACACTCTTTCCTCCAATACCAGCGGCCAGTCGGAGTCGGGCCGACTGCGAGTGAGATTGGACACGATGGCTGATGTCAAGTAAGGCCTCCCTCAAGTGCTGTGTTGATGCGGAGTGGGCTTTCCTGGCTCGTTTAGGAGATGCGATCGCCTGAACAGGAAGTTTATTGGCCTGACGTTCCAGATTCTCACTCGAACCCACAATCTAAGACGGTGGCAGATACGGCTAATGGAGGCGGGAGCGCAGCAGTTATAGGACGCAGTTGACGCGCAGTATCTGCGTTCACTGCTAGGGATCGTATTTGATGCGATGATGGCTTGTTAGTCCGCGCCGTAGTTGTTAATTGCCGAAATTAAATCGCCGTTATGGATTCTTGGCGTAAGAATTACTCGAACATTTGGCTCACTAAAATTGTCAGTCGCCCTCACATTCCCACATGGTTACTTATTCTGTTCAGCAAAGTCTCGGCACAATATTAAGAACGGGAGACCATCGAGCTTGATAATCGACTACGGGCCACAGAATCATGATTCAAGCAGCCCGTGGCATACGCGGTCGTCCATCCTTGCGAGGATTTTAACCTTACCAAAGTTTATGATACGACCGGGTCCCGTAGAATAAGCCGTGACCTGGGAGCTAGCCCCGCCATTCTCACTGCTGCTGCATGTTCAGCCATTCGCGTCAAGGGTAATATCTCAGTTTCTTCGACGTAGTTGCTTTGTCCGCAAGTGCACCAGATCCGTTAAGCGACGCCAGACGTCTTCTGGTGTGGTACTGGGCCAGCAGACTTCTCTTCCCAACGATCGCGTCTTCCCTCAAATTACTTTCTGGAACTCGACGGCTTGCTTATCTTGTCTCGCCCTTCGTACACTGCAAACATACGTTAACAATATGACATCATGCTTCTTCCCGGTGTCAAGAAGACCGCGGATGGGGGAGGGCGCAGGTGGCTGGCACGGCCAGACCCGCACCTAGGCGTGCCACCACACCCCCTGGTCCACAACACACACATAACCAGGATCCTAACAAACGACGACAAGAGAATGGAAGCTGGCACGGCCGAAGCCGCATCAAGGCGTGCCCCCGCACGCTGATCGGATACCACGGAGTGGGAGTGCCATAAAGGCCATATTAAGAAGGAGCCATTGCAGTCTGACTCTTAGACCACCAGCCGGCCACACCACACAAACACACAACACTGGGCCGACTGCGAAGTCCAAGTTATCCCGTCGGTTGGCAACCCTCAAAGCCACGGTTCTTAGCGCAGCGTGATAGCTTAAAATGCGTCAGATTGTTTATTGTGATGGATGTGCGCTGAGTCGTCGACCTCACTCTCCCTTTCCATTCTCAGGCCTCAGCCACTGTCCGAGCCGGTCAGTTGACTGATTCGGGGAACGGGCGCAGTGTCTGACATATCTAGCGATCTTGTCTGCGCGCACCACATGCACGACCTGGCCCCCGAACACAAACACCAGGATTTCACAAAACGGGGGTTTAGCGGCGTACATCTCACATGCGTGAAAGTCCCGCAGGTCACGTTTGGGCCGCAATACTATTTGGGGGATTGCCCGCGTAGCGATTTGCGATAATACAGCACACGGATAGTAGTTTCCAAAGCCTGGTGGTGGTAGTGGCGGCGGCGGCGGTGGTGGCAGTAGTAGTAGTAGTAGTAGTAGTAGTAGTAGTAGTAGTAGTAGTAGTAGTAGTAGTAGTAGTAGCAGTAGTAGTAGTAGTAGTAGCAGTAGTAGTAGTAGTAGTAGTAGTAGTAGTAGTAGTAGTAGTAGTAATAGTAGTAGTAATCATGATGGCTTCTGACACCTGCAAATGGAGGCGCCAGCTTCCCTCGTTAGAACGATAAAAAAGTCCATACTAAAGAAAATTGTTAAGTCCATGGAAGGTCGTCAGTCGGACACTGTATGTACACGCAGTGAAGGAGTGCCGCACAATATTTCGGCTGACTATGCCTAAGCTAGCCAACTGCAATGACGTCTGTATAATGCCTTTCCACGCAAACCTTGTGAATTCGGCCCGTTTCTGTCAAGTTGTGCAGACCGAGTGCGAGAGATCGGAAAACGACCCCTATCTCTTTCCGAGCCTTGTCAAGCCAAGCACTGAGCTACATCAATCGTCGCTTTCAGTTAGGCATCGGCACTAGGCGTCGAACAGCAACGCTGAACCTGCGGACAGACGACGAACCATTCATCCACTTCCATCGTCTTCCCTAGATGGTCTGGGATATCCTTCCCATCCTACGATTGTGGGACGTCTCGTTCGAGACAAGATCGGTGTTTTCACTCGAAGGGCCATTTTCGGACAATTTAGTCTAAAAAATAGTCCCCGTTTGTATCCCACGTGTGCAGTACAGCATTTATAACTATTGAAAAGGAGTTATCGGATGGATATCCGGTGCGCGCAAATCTTTGTAGCTACCTGAATATCGCCCAGTTTTTAGATACCCTCGAAGACTTACACAAATCCTACGAGTAGCATCGGCTCGGATACCAACTTCGTTACTGTTGCGTCCGATAGTAAATGTTCTATTTCCGAAATACCCGAGAAGAAGATTTCCCACATCTGATTCTGCCCCTATATTATTTATCCGAAGGTGAATCTGAGACGTCAGATGAACAAATCGTGTATGTTCCGTAGTTCGAGAATTGTCAGCAAGAGCAAGTGACGCCGAAACTGTCCCTTCTGACTCTAGTCGTCATCAGCCAATCGCAGGCGCACCCGAAGTTTGGACTTTGAATCTAGTTGGTTATTCGGCATTTCAGTCGAACGCCCCTGTCGCCTGATCTACCCGCCTCACGCTCGGTCAACCGCCATCGTGAATACACGAGACTGCGCGAAAGGGGCGTCTGCCGACCTATCCTTACTTCTGGACGGCAATACGCACGCCCGTTTCAGAGCCCAAACAGGAGGTCAAAATCAACGGGGGGCGTGGGGGACCCTAGTAGTTGTCTCACGCAGCGACAGAATATCGACGAAGCACGTGCCTGTGCTCTTAGCTAGTACCCGTACTGTCAGTATGGTAAAGCATGCAACATATATACTACTAGCTGTCAGTTAACAGTTTATGAGTACTTCGCAGTTACCGTGCTGCAGCCGATGGATTTCAGCCCAAATATTCATATTAACTTTCGGGGGGAGCCTATAAAGCTTCATTCCAGCCGATTCATTATAACTTAGCTATTAGTTTCCCAGGAGATCAAGTAGTTGAAATTTCAAAACTGTGGTGTCTGTCAAAAAACACACGGCGGACTCTAGGTGGCTGTTGATAAGTCGAACCCCCCTCAGCTTTCATATGCAATGGCAAAATATCGGCGAAACACGTGTCTGAGGTCCCGTCCGTAT